TGGAGCCATTCCAAAGGAAAGCTGAGTGCATTTAGGGAGCTTCATATGTTGAAGTGATATTGTCCCACCTAACTTCTAGACGTCTATACACGAGTTAGCTGCTCCACTACAGCTTGTGAGGATCAAATCAATGAAGTCCATACTGCCTATTAATTACTGGATATGAATCATATCCCTGGAGCCTGCAATTCTAATAGCTGTCCCATTGGGCTGAGGACCCATGGGAGCAAACAAGAGGTGAAACAACCCTTTGGGGGGCCCATAAACCAGGATGGCTGTGTGGCCTATTGCAGCTGTGGAGTTTATTCCAACTACGAGAATTTGTTGATAATAAACACACTTTGGCATCTTAGTATTATCTTTCCACAACATACTACTCAACAGCATTTTGTAAGATTTATGTTAGTTGTGTGGAGACCATTCTGCAGCAGCTGGAGAACAGGGAAGAGGAAAGAATAGGGATCTCAGTGTTAGAAAGAGTTGTATGAACTCAATCAAAACCAGTGCACAGTGCTCAGAGACTGCACAAGGTCTCCCCTGTCAAGCATGTTAAAATACTTTCAAGAAGATTCCCCTCACACAGGAAATAAAATAGGGGCACTTCATCAGTGGGGTTCATCAACCAGATTGTATAAATTTAGTTTTCCCTTCCTACAGACAAATTTTTAGATTGTTAAAACCGTATTAGGAAGACAGAAATAACATAGGTGTTGCCACAGAACCCAAGCAAGGTCAGAGATGAGTCATTTTAAGTTGCACAGGTGAGGCATACCAGGATCTAAAGAAGTAGGTTTCTTTCCCCTAGCTACCTTCAGAGGTTAAAATCAGAACTAGTTAGAGGAGAACTCTTTGCACACAAGATTGAGCCACAAAAGAGATGTGACAAAATTGTCAATATCGCAGGCCAAAACAAAACCTCCAGTGAGAAAAAACCCATCATATAAATAGTGGAACTTTCACAATAGCATATAAATTTTTATGAGTGCTCCAGAAAGCAGACACTCTATATGGCACTATAGATGCTCTGTCCTGTACCTGCTGTACCATGGCTTGCTCATATTACTTAGCACATGTTTTGGTCATTCCTGTAGTGGTTTGATACATGGATAACATTTTCTACTGTGTGCAGGCCATATTCAAAAGGATACTTAAGTCTTTCTGGGTTTATTTTCATTGAGGCTTTCTTTTGTTCTGGATTTTTTTCTCTTTTTTTCCCCCTCAGTCAGTATAATACAATTGATACCTATTTAAATAACTGCCCTGAATTTTCTCTCCCTGCATAAATCTTTACATTCCATTTTATGTAGTAAATAAAAAGGAGGTATGGATACACCAAACCAGTTCTTTCCAGTGCCACACTGCAGTTGTATGCAGGAGGCATACTAATTTTCACAGACTATAAAAAGGGGTGGGTTTTCTTCTCCATAAGACCTCTTTGTTCGCAAAACCTATCCTGTTCTTACAAGTCTCAATTTTCAGAGAATGGAAACAGAGTGCACAGTGAATATCCAAAAGTGATTTCGTGGAAACTGTGTACTTTTGACTGAGGTTTTTAACTTGCCTTCCTCTGGAAATGAGGTTTACACAATTACATGCCTAGTCCTCGGCCCCAACAAATCTTGAGCCTGTTGGACCGTTTCATCCTGCTTCAGCTGAGTGCCAGACTGCTCCAGGTTAATGTGTTCCAAGCAATTTAGAGAAAATTGCTGGCAAGGTACAGAAGAGAGCATTGGTTTGGGTCCATCACTAAGGGAAGTGGAGGAATAACTCAGCTCTCTTCATTAGGTGATGCAGAGGCCTGGCAGGCAGCATGATATGTAGGTTTGAACAAAACCTAATGTATTTTCTTTGCCCAGCCAGAACAGTTATGGATGTTAAAGGAACTTAAAGCTAAACTAGCAGGTGTGGGGAGGGTGAAGGGAGCTGAAAAAGGCTAATAAGTGACATAGGAGAAATCTCAGAGTCCTGTGAACCGTTTTAGGGAAGTGGTAGAAGCAATTACTTCTGTGCATGGGATGTAAAGTGCAATGGCAGAGAGACAGGAAAGAGTATGTGGGTTATACAGATGCAGAACAGACCTAAAAGTTTAAAATATCTGTGTTAAATCAGTGGAAGGACAGCAGGAGAAGATTGACTGAGATGCACTCACTTTCAGAGTTGCATTGTGAAGAGCTGTGATATTTCTGCCAAACAGTTATCTAAACCAGATTAGAGAATTAAGAATTGATCTGACACTTCTTGGAAACAATATCTGTGGGGAATGGCATTTAATCAGCCTATTCCCATGAGAAAAACGTGGGGGTTCAAAATGAAGATGCAAATGAGGTGACCAAGAGGGCAGATCTAACCACTTCCTGCATATTTTCAATTCTTCCAAGAAGGGGCCCAAACCCCATTATATACCAAAAATCATATGTTCTGCACAGTAATGTTTAGAATGACTTTTCATTAAAGTATGCTATGAGTAAACAGTCAATGTAGCCATTTTGAAAGATTTCAGCCCTGTCTGAGATCTAACAAATGGATATTCTTTGCAGAGATCAGTGTGAAGATTTATGGGCTAGAAAGAAAACTAGTAAAGTGCAGTCTGATAAGGCTGAGAGATTAATATAATTTTAAATTAAGGACCTCTGGCTAGTGCTTCCTCTAAGCATGAAACAAACTTACTAGTTTTTAATAGCAATGTAGATAGTACACAGGGAGTGCAGCACACCAGGTAAATAATTGTATGATGTTGAGTGAGGATCAACCTCAAGGAAAGGATATAACCAAACCAATTTCATATGATACAGTAATTGTGAGATACTTCCAGCAACAGCCTCACCCAGGTCCAAATCAGCACTTTAAATAAACACTTAAAATGCCACAGACCCATACAAAATTTATACTAACTAGTGATTTTTTCACTTTTACTGTAGTTGTAATACTCTACCTCAATAAAAGCCAGGCTGAGAAGCAGAATTTGTAACAATGAGAGAATTATGGTGGTTCTGAGTACATTGCAGTTCTTTCGTGGAGTACTGAGTGGCCAAATTGACACAACCTCTCTGGCTGTTTTTTCCCATGTTAACTCCACCTGTGGCACTGACAGCAGGGCATAGCACAGGGTGGGGACAGCAGAGGATAAGAAATTCAGTCCTGGGGCCATCCCCCAGTGCTTGTGGTCAGGGCCACAGATGTGGGAATAGCAATCCCTCAGTGAAAGCTGAGACATGATGCTCATTCTGAGGTCTATAATTGTAGGAGAGTAGAAGAGAAATCTGTGCCTGGCCTTGGATGAGTGTGTATTTAACCCCCTGTGATACATCAGGGGGTTAAATAATAAGCAATATGTGTGTGCATGATTGATTGGAAATAGCACACTCTTAACAACATTTTGGAGAAGGTATGTTGACAGAAGGTGTTTTGGGAGCTGGGAAATAAAACAAGTGAAAAAGGAAGCCTGGAACAAGGGTGACATAAGTTCCAGGGCCCTACAGGCAAAGAGGAATCTGTACCTGTCCTTGGATGAGTGTGCATTCTAATATAACAAGGTGAGACCACACCTTTCACCTCTCAGAACTGGGAGCCTACGGCAAACTGCCCTGCTCACCCCACAGCCTCCCTCAGGTGGCCTTGGTACAGGCTTAGAATAAAAGACAAAATATATCTGTAGATGCAAAAAGTACTATCTACTTTACCCAAGGCTGAAGAAGGTGTAGCAGACAGACATAGAAAAATATTCTGTAACTGAGAATCTTTTAAACTGAAGAACAAACAGATGAGAGCAAGCTTGTCTCTAAAGCCTTGAAAAAGGAGAAAATGCTTCCAGGTGAGAGGTTTTTCACAGCCTGCTGAGGACAGAAGTCACCCTTATTTTTAACAATTTCAAATTAAAAACTAACTGGAAAAGAAACAGGAGTTACTATTATTTCATTGCTCAGGAAACTAATGTGCTTTGTACTGGAAATTAAGATGCTAAACATGTGTTGCCTCTATACGGACACTGGAGTCTCCCAGCAGCTCCCAGCTGTACTGGGCACTCTGTTGACCAGCAGTGTTTGAGTGCTTCCTTGCAGTAGCATATCCTATTCTGGGAATTCTTGGCACCAATATTAATTGTTGTGGCCACATCTCCTGCATCTGTGCAACTGCAGTCACAGAAAACCACTGAAAACACACAGCTCCTTCACAAGAGACTTCCATTGCTGTGTAATGGAATTTGGAAAATGTTATGCTTTTCTTACTAGAGTTTTTCCTGTTATCCAATAGGAAAAGGCAGTTTAAAGAAATTAATGAAATATAATAAATGAGACAATGTAAGGAGGACATGGAGCAAGTGCAGAGGAGGCCATGAAGCTGATAAGAGGACTGGAGTACCTTCCCTACAAGGACAGGCTGAGAAAGTTGAGGCAGTTCAGCCTGGAGAAGAGAGGGTTGTGTGGAGACCGCAGAGTAACCTTCCAGTGTCTTAAGGGGCTACAGGGAAACTGCAGAGGGACTCTTGGTTAGGAAGTGCAGTGATAGGACAAGGAGCAATGGGGATAAATTGAAAGAGGGGAAATTTTTAAAAGATATCAGGAAGAAGTTTTTTCCTGTGAGGGTGATGAGACACTGGCACAGGTTGCCCAGGGAGGCTGTGGCTGCCCCAACCCTGGCAGTGTTCAAGGCCAGGTTGGATAAAGCCTTGAGCAACCTGCTCTGGTGGGAGGTGTCCCTGCCCAGGGCAAGGTGTTAGGACTAGATGATCTTTAAGGCCCATTCCAACCCCTTAACAGTCTGTGAAACTATGGATATTTGGGACAAGATAGAGCTATTTAACATCAAGTGATATTTATAATTCCTAGGGATGAAAAATTGCTGGAATGTGTAGGCTGATGGAGAAGCTTAGATAACACAAAATGAAAGTGAAGCCACTGAAGAAATATATGTAACTTATGTAACATAAAAATACTATGGGAAGGAAAAAAATCCTGTATCTGTAAAACCTGGAATACAACAGTCTCTGCAGACATACATACCCATTTGACACCCCACATTCCAGAATGTTTGAGGATTATAATTTGAAGAGGTCATTCTCGTTCCTTTGGGGTAGATTCTTGTAATAAATCTTGTAGTATGAGAAATAAACTCTTCAGCTGAAAAAACAAAATTATAAAAGCTTGGTAAGAAAACCTTTATGATGAAAGATACCCTAATTGAATAAGTAATAATAAAAGTATAATAATAAACTGATTCAGCTATTTTTTTACACAATATCATACTAATATATTCTATTTTAACCTGAATATATGGACCATTCTGGGATATGGGTAAAATCCTAGTTTAAACCTTAGTATTTTGTGTATTCTATGCACAGTGCATATACAGTATATATGTATATATAGATATATACAAGTGAAGTTTTTGTTAAAGCTTCAACAACCAAGAATAATTCCTTCACTAAAATATTCTGCATCTTCCCCACTTTGCTAGGTAAATATATGATTTTTACATTAAAGCCCACTGCGTTCTCATGGAAAATCCAGACACAAAGCAGGAAAGTGATCAAATAGCTTCTCATTCCTTAGTAGTTGAATAGGAAAAAAATCATCCCAAGATGATCTTGGCTTGATTGTTGTTTTGAGGTTTAAATAAAATGACTGAATAATATCAAGATCAGTGAACAGTACATTTTTAAAGGACACTTAATTGGTTCCTTTATAATCTTCAGATATCAAATATACAAGTGGGCTGATTTGCTTCCTCCTAGCAGTGTTCCCTCCCTCCCCTTTGGTAGGCATAAACTACACAGATGTGGTAAACTTCAGGTGACTTATCTACATGATTCCTTTTTTTAGTAATTAAACAAAAAAACTTTGCATTTCCAAGGTCACCACTCTGATCCTTTCCATCCTCCTCCCACCCCAGTTTTTGCTTGGTTGTCTGATTTTGGTTTGGTTATTAATAAATAGGACTGCTTTTTAGTAAATAGAATTACTTTCATGTCCACTAGATTGCCAGAGGAACCAGAGAGGACTCCCTTTGCATGACTGGAAAAACCTACTGGTTTTGATGCTGCTCAGCACCATTCACCTAATCAACCATTGCATCACCTCCACACAGTGGTGGATGGCAGCTGGGCTGGCCCTGAGTGAGTGAGCACGTAGCAGATCTCATTGTCATGGCCAGTGACCTCTGCTCTGAACACCCTTTCAGGGCTGTTGGCAGCAGCTGGAGTTAAACCAGTAGAGGCTGCACTGCACTGGCTGCACCAAATGGAGATGTTCCAACACAGGATGAGTTTGGAATAATCCATCTCGGCTGGTATGAAAGGTCCAATGGAGCAAACTGCCTGCTCTGGGATTTATTCATTGTATCAATGCAGACTCTTATCTGCAGCTCTCCCCAAAGCCAGGGGTACTGCATGCCCACCCCCAGTGAGTGCTGACATGGCAGGGCAGTGAAATCTATTCCACACTCTACAGTTTCAAGTATTGACTGTGACTTCTAAATGATTTGATGCAGAAAACAATGAATCAAAAGGTATTCATGCGTTTCGTAGACGATGTTAATATTTGTTCTTATAAAGGTACATGAAATTAAACCACAGTTGAATTTCAGTTTTCCTCACAAAAGCAACTGAAATAAAGGACATTTCTAAAACAGTGTGATAAAACCAACCAAACAAAAATGGACAGCCAGGGCTTCATAAAGTGTTAACCTTTCCAGTGCCTAAGCAGTGAGCCACAGCAACAGTGCAACTTTTAGCTGATTAAATCCAAAGAAATTACCTGATTGTCTTGCAAATTTTCGTGCTTTAGTCTCTCCAATTGAATTATTTTCATAGCATTTCTGATGTTCTAAGGAATGCTCAAAGCTCACAAACTTTGAAGATTTGGTATAAATCACCAGGTCTGACAGTGCAAGGGCAATTTTTGTCTTCTTCATCTAGTAATCAAAATATGAATAATGGAATTTTAAAATCATAGTAACACATAATAATAATTCAGAGAAATTATAATTTTTACACATAAAGCATGGGAAAATGTCTCACAATTAATGAATAGATGAGTTTAAGATACGACTTTTGATAGTGAGAGTGGATTCAGTCAGAGACAACTAAGGTTCTTGTGTCCATGTTTATCATAGCAATTGTAGGGTGAAGGAGACATGCTGCCAGTGCTTCCTAGCATAGTGTTCTCTTGGACAGCTTTACCCTTTTTGCTGCTTCTGAGACTGGTATGTAAATTAACATAATTTTTCATGGCTTTTAACATTACTCATTTAAAATATACATCCAACTTTATATTCATAAGTACATAAAGTACTAGAAAAGATCAATTGCATAAACTCAGCTACAAAACGTAGAATAACAGGAGAATATTTTACTGTGCCAAACAAATTAGTCACAGGCATATTCCTCCAAGCATTGCTCTGAAGTTAGGAAAACTCTTTTCTTCTTAATTAAGGTGGAAAGTTCTTTCACCAAAATCTTTGTTCAGTCTTGCTCCATTACCAGTGCAAGCACAAGCAAAGTGACTGAGATTTTACCAGGGTCTTGTCTCTCTCAGGGAGGTACCACCTGATTGCTTCATTTTCCTTGGCATAACTTGTGAGATAAGCAGGGCCAGTGGCCAGCAAAGAGCTGATAATGCTAATAACGTTTACATTCCATTAAAGCTTTTGAAGGCAGATTCTCATTTGACAGAACAAGAGGGATTGCCTACTCATGGCTCTGAAACTGTGCAAAGATCACGCGCATTAATTATTCTGGGGTTATGTCCTATGAGGAGCAATAGGAGGGTACTGTCACAGAAATCCTGGACAATACAACTCTCTGGATGTGGCAGGAGGTGACACAGACAATGCCAACACCATCACTGGGTATCTTGGGTGTGGATACAAATGCTCTTGCACCCTCCAATAGAAAAATACAGTGGGACCTCAGGATAAATACTTCAGTAGAGTGGGACCCTGGAAACCATTTTCTCTTCTGCCTGTGAAACATGACCAGACACCAGTTGTTGCTGCTGTTGAGCAAGATTATGTGGTATATGTTTTGGTCTGTTACATGATCTTACAAATATATTTGACCCTATTATCTGGACAGTTGGCCTTTCCTGTTGAAACAGGACTCCATTCTCTCTCAGAATTTTTCCTTACAATCTTTCTCTATCAGGTGGAAAGAGAAAGAAGCAAAGATCTTGACCCTGAAATCATTTAATCATCACAGAAGGAGAGACACTGCCTCTCAGAAGAACACTGGGCTCTGAGGAGCATTGCCAGTTTACACACATTCAGGTAATCAAAGCATCATGTGCAACAGTGACTGGACACAGAGTGATGGTTTAAAAGACTTCAACAAAGCAGTCTGATGAAGCAGCAGCTGTCCATGGTAGAGAGTTATACTTGGTTAACAGAATTAGTTCAACTTGACTTTCAAAAAGATTACATCCAATTTTTACACTCTCTTTCAGAAATAGTGCTTAATGTTAAGTCTCCACATGACAAATGTAAAAACACCTTTTTCATTCTAAGTGCTTAAAAATGTTTTAGCACAACCAAAAATGTGCACCTAATTTCATGCATAATTCCAGAACAGAAGAAAATAGAGGAATGAGAACTCTTCAAAATCTCCAAGACAGACTGGTGGACTGTGGTAAGAAACAGCTCTGTCTGTCACCATCAGAAACTGCTATAAATATTTTCCATGCATAGCTCTATGAGGGCCTGGAGACCAACAAAACATTTGGGCAACTTCATTTTGGGTCTATTGCAGTACTGAGCCCCTGGGACAGGCACAAGACTCAAAAGAGAAAAATGCTGTTGGAATTCAAGTTAGAATACAGGGAAGGGTTGTTTTTTAGTTGGATACTACAATGTGGTCCGGTTTGGAGTTTCTTGGAAGAATGGAGTTTCTTCAGGGAGGTTGTGGCTGCCCCAACCCTGGCAGAGTTCAAGGCCAGGTTGGATTAAGTCTTGAGCAACCAGCTCTGGTGGGAGGAGACTCTGCCCAGGGCAGGGGTTGGGACTAGATGATCTCTAAGGTTCATACCAACCCCTGAACATTATATGGTTCTATGAATAGAAAAACTCTGAAACCTTGAGCTGAAACATAATTTTAAAATTACTTAGAGCAATGCATTTTGAAGTCTACCTTTTAAATTCTATTTTAAGATAATATATTCCTTCTTTTTATAAGAAAAGTAAGCTGCCATACATCTATGAGTTCTCCATGTTCAATTGAGATAAAAGTTACCTTCTTTTTAGGTGGGTAAGATTTCTGATCTTTTCTTCTTTTGGTGGCTCCATTCGATTGGTGAAGAGGAGTAGTGTCATCTGTGTCAGTGTCCTCAGTCAGAGATTCTTCAGACAATTCCTCAACCTCCCCTTCACATTCATCACCCATCCTGCGCATACCTTCCTCAAGTGTTCCAACCTTTTTATTTTTTATCAGAACTTTGAATTTTAATGCCTGGAGAAAAGAATAATAACTAGAATTAGCTATGGATTCATTGTAGGTTTTTCATCTCTAGCTATTGTTTATGAAGTATAAGAGTCAAAGTTGTTTATTAAGTATAATGAAGTGAGTTAACAAAATGAAGATAGATATCAGTGAGGCAGAAGCCAAAACCAAGTAAAGCAAACAAAATCTGGTGATAGAAGCACACAACAGAAGGTGACTATCTAGCCCCATGACAGGACATCTGTGTATCTCTCCACCACAGATACACAGATGCTGAAACTGTGAAAAGAAAAAAACAGGAAGTGTCAGAGGTAATGCCTAGCCAAGGCATGGGAGGTATATTTTTTACCTATGCATGTATATACTTATAGACATGTATCTGATATGAATTTGAAATGGTTTTTAGCTATCATTGTGGCTCCAGGAAATTTGTTACCCTATTTGATTTGTGTCTTTGTGCATATGTGTCTAGTGCACTAAATTAAAGCTTTTGTTATATTATTTTACAGTGGATCCTTGTGCTGATCTGGTCAGGAAAATCACAGTTTGGTGAGTTTGCCTAAGCAGTTTCTCTAATGTTTCAATTTCCATAATATAGAATGGAGGGGAAAAAATCATTAAGTATTATCAGTTCTAATATGATGGCTTTCATCTCTGCACCTGAATCCTGTGAGTACATATTTCACGTAGATTTATGAAATACTATTCATAGTACAACAGCTATTATGTAGCAGACATTCCCCTCTGCATCTGTGCACAGGAACTGCCAGCAAGTAACAGGATTTACTAATGTTCTTGAATGAAGTGATCCACAAAAATATTCCTTAAGTTTCATATGGACTAGTGAAAAAGAAAGTTACAGGAACAGGGAAGAAATGATTTCATATAAAATAAAAGAGAACTGGAACACTGTATTTTAAGGTATCCATGAAGTAAATAAGAAAGACACATAAAACCCCTGAGTTTTACAATAGAAACTAGAGCTATAGGCAAAGAAATAGACATTCCATTTATTTACACTGCAATCTCCATTGCTCACAATCCTCTTATCACTTCAGATCTTGTAGTTTGCCAGTGGGATGAGATATCCTATGCCTAATATCTATCAATGCCATGCTACTGTGAGATTTGATTAGTCTCTCTGCACTGGTGACTCAGAATCAGGATGCCCTTTAACATTTCCTCCATTTCTTATTAATGCACTCATTTTTTTTCCTCTGGTATATTTTTAGAAGAGTTTTAATATGATTAATGCTAGTCATAGTTTTTAAGAGTTCTGAATTTTCCTTTGAATGTCCATATTTCCCAATATTTAAAAGCAATTCTATCTACTTTCAGTCTTGTATTTTGTTATTCAGAGGTAAAATTTCATCCTGAAAACTGATTTATAAAAAAGCTCTGATACACATGGAAAGGAAAACCTTTCTATAGCTACATTACGGTATGTAAACTTGCTTTAAGTAAAAGAAGACTATAGTCTATGTTGCCATATAAAACTGGGCTACAATGTCCTAAGTCAGTTTCTAAAATTCTTCTTAGGAACTGTTAGCAAAAATGTAAATACCCTGAGGTAGGGCAGGTTTGGGGTTTTTTTCTACAAATATAACATCTTAAAACCACAGCCTCTTTTTTTAAAAGAGGACAACATAAGAAGGACATGGAACTGCTGTTAGAGCAAGTTCAGATGAGGCCATGAAGCTGAGAGAGGACTGGAGCATCTCCCCTATGAGGACAGGCTGAGAAAGCTGGGGCTGTTCAGCCTGGAGAAGAGAAGGTTGTGTGGAGATCTCAGAGCAACCTGCCAGGATCTGAAAGGGCTCCAGGGAAGCTGCAGAGGGACTCTGTTAGGAACTGGAGTGATAGGACAAGGAGCGATGGGGATAAATTGAAAGAGGGGAAATTTACATAAGATATCAGGAAGACATTTTTTCCTGAGGGTGGTGAGACACTGGCACAGGTTGCCCAGGGAGGCTGTGGCTGCCCCAACCCTGGCAGTGTTCAAAGCCAGGCTGGATGAGCCTTGAGCAACCTGCTCTGGTGGGAGGTGTCCCTGCCCAGGGCAGGGGTTGGGACTAGATGATCTCCAGCACTTTGCTATTTTTTGGCCAGAAGGAAATTCAGACTGAAAAAGACACACCAAGGATATTAAGCCTGAAATTCAAATGTATCTTCAAAAAAACTTATAATACAGGGCTACAAAATGAGTGACTGTGTGAAATGTGAGCTCTCTAATTGGCAATCAGCAGTGCTAAATATGTGGCACCTTTTTCCTCTAAATGTCGAAGGATTTTAAGTGGATAATGACCTGAATGCCTGAACATTCACTAGAACGTCTCCTTTCTACTTGTAATATGAAAGGCAAAATATGTTAAAAATATGTTTGCTATATACTTCTATATAAACTGTAAGCATACTAAATAATTTAAATATGTAAAACATAATAGATCTTCCCTAGAGCATAATGGGACTTCAAGGCTGGTATGAGCAAAAGCCTCCAAGTACAATCAAGTGGAACAAATATTTACATAATTAAATGAACAGAACTTATTTCTTGTACTAAATAGACATTCTGGTAAATGGGATGTACAACACAGACCAGCTAAAGCAATACAAGACTCCAAGACAAAAATCACAAGCACTTTGGGTCAGGCAAACCCACTGCAATTAATGTAAAAAGGGACAAAATTCAGTTCTCAGAAATGAACAAACCCTGGATTTGGGTCATCTGTATTAAAAAGAGAAGACAAGATTTCCCTATTTAAATTTAACATGTTCTCTCCTCCTCTCCTAACCAGCTATAGGTACTTAGTTAGAGGGGCAAAAACCGTGTTGGCTAAGGAATTTCTATATTAAATATATTTATGACAACATTGCTATGGGACTATAACAGTATGGTAGTACTTTAGCACATCTTTTGGACACACCACTTCAAGAATATTTTTCCATGACAAATCCTTTTAAAAATGACATCCCTTCATGTGTTTATTTTCCTTCTGACAATATTTTCTCCCCACATTTTCAACTGCCTTGTTCATTTTCAGCTACACTAAAAAAAAAAAAAAAAAGATTATAAAGTCTCTCTCTTCCTGATAGCAGTGACAAGCCTAAATAAGTATTTTGTATGGACTCCTGTATTTGTGCTACAAGAGATTCAAAAAACTTTTGTCCTTGAAAGGAAATTACGTGCAAATACTGGAACAATGGGAATTTATCTGTTTAGTTTGCAATAAAATTTTCAAGACTCATCTAATTGCCTTTTGTGATTTCATATCCCAGGGGTCTCAAGCCCACCAGCTGAGAAACGCGGTCGTAGGGAGAAACACACTGAGGAAGGATGTTCTTGCAGTAGCACAACTTGATCAAATAGTTCTATTATCATTATTATTGCCAAAAAAATATAGATAGATTCAGGTTTCCATTTCAACAAGACATTTAGATTTCAGGAATTTCCTTCAACCTAAGCAACAACAAAAAAATCAATTTGGAGTTGATAACAGATAGACTAACATGTATCATTGTGCTGTTTAAATACTTTTTGTTACTACCTGAAGTCTATTTTTCAGACACCACATGTTTTTCATTAATTCAGTTTCAGAAGATTTAAAAAAAACACAAATAAACCACAGAGCAACAAAATTTGTTCCCCTCTCTTTCTATTTTCTTACCTCAGGAGAAGGTAGCTGAGTCACCTCTGTCTTACCATCAAGTGTTGTAGTAAGAAGTTTGTCACCTAGAATACTTTTTAAGCACTCTGCCATCACTTCCTGCTGTTCAGGGCTGCAGTGGTTCTCCAGAGACAGCACCACTGGATAGTCAGATGACTGGAAATATAATTAAACTTTTATTAATAATAAATACAAAGAGGAATACTTGTTTTTCCAAAATACCTTATAAAAGTCCCCTTGGCAATCTGTATTTTCCTTTATTTTCCAAACATTTAGAATATAAATGAGGTGTTTCATGTTAGTAACATAATAAAAAGGCTCACAATATTTATAGAAAAGAGAAGGCACAATTGAAGAAGAGAAAAATGCATCTCCAAGATGTTTAGGAGGGTTAAAACAAGGCTAGACATATACAGAGATGTAAAGAGAACTGTTCTGTTTTTAAAAGGCCAAATCGGATTCTAAAATGGCAAGTGACAAAGTAAAGCAGGATTAAATGAGTTTTGCTTTAGTTTATGACAGATTTTCACTGACTCCATTTCAGGTTTACACTATCCTTAGCAATGCCTTTACATGAACAAGTTATGCATATTTTTTTTCATAGCATCACAAACTTCTTGGGACCCTTTACACTTTGCTCATCACAGTACTCAAGCAAGAGAGGTGAAACAAGGGAAACTGAGTAAAATTAGAGAACAGCTCAAATGAAACACACCCATTTAGACTGTATAAGCAAATCTCATATGTTGCCATTGGTGGCTACTGAAAACAAATACTCTGCGTAAAATCTTTGTTTGGACAGGATCTAAACTGTCAGTGAAATGAAGTTTGCATTAGAGTTAAGAGCAATATGCTGTGCATTAGCAACAACAGGCAAGTTATGTCTAATGGGTTTTGAAGAACAGTGAAACAAAAGCATGGGGTATATATATATATATATTCACACACATAATGGTGACCTGAATTCAAGAGTTATCTTAATAGTCATCCAGGACTTCATTTGAGCAGGAATTTTGGCAGAAACCTATACAAAAGTCTAAGACAGTGCCAAAACCTCAACAGAGATAGGCAGAAGGGACATTGCCTTATTAAGTCACTTCACAAAAAAGCAACAGTAGTTGGTAACCTTTATCAGGTTCAGCATTCAAAATACAAACAAAGGAAGTGGAAAAGAGAGTAAGTCTCAAACTCAGCTATAATATAATCTTTGTCTCTGTTTCATAAATTGACACAAAGAGCATAAGACAGAGAGCAACAGAAGAAAAAATGAAGTGAAAAATATTTAAAACATAAAAAAAGGAGTAAAACATCAGATTGAGCCTGAAGAAGTTCACTTTATATTCGGTCCTTGCTTAAATGAGCTCAGATGAGAACTCCACCTAACGAGCTGATTAAGATCACCTGAATTCTTTGCACCAAGTTTGGTTTATAACACATATGTATGATTTGTTTTATATATTATTATCTATACTTGGGTTATAATTTATATTTATATTATTCAGCAAAATAAGTTTACCATTCCTTAAAACAAACTACTAAAAATATCTCAAGAACAGACAGCACAATTTTCCTGCCATTAATTTCAACAATTCCCAGTGCACAAGCACTGTCTCTGTTTCATATTTTTTCACAACCTCCGACCACAGCTATGTCCCTGGGCTTTGTTAACACCACCAGCACCTTTTAACCAATTTATATACAGATACAAATGTATATGCCTACCATAAATGCATACTTCTCGATGGCATGGATCACAGAACGAAAGGGGATTTTGCTGGTCAGAGTGTGGCCGTGATACACAATGGGCTCATCATCATTGCCATCCCAGCAGTCGATTTCCAGGCAACGACACCCTCTTAAGAGAGCACTTCAAAAGAACAAAACAAACAATTAGCCAGTCAAAAGAAAGATAACACACTTTCCTACACGAGCTGCTGCATTTCTGATGACAAGCACATTGATTAACTACAAAATAACCCTACTTTTTCCTCATAAAATTCTCCCAAACCCCACAGAATTATATGAGACAGTATTTTCTGTTGTTTACCTAAGGCATGTTAGGTAATACACTTTACTAGAGCATTAAAGAATAAGGGATTACCCGCATAACATTCATTAAGAGACTACTAAAAATGAAGGTCAAAGATGTCAATAAAAGAATTTTAGAAGAGTGGCAAAAAGTCACTTAAAATTGAAACACTAATGGACTCATCTGCAAGTTTGAGAAGCTCTACTGAAAAATGACAATGAGGTGGCTCTTAGTCTTTACACAATTCAGCTGTTCTACCCCTACCTGATTTCTAAGTGGGAGTGCTAATGTTTCTCAGGTGCCTTCAATTTACTAGGCTAATTTTCAATATGCTAATGGCGTCCCTTAAAGGGCTTAGGTTTCTAATATTTGGCTTGTAACTAATTGAAACATTTCTTGTAGACTGTTTGACTCCACTGCCAATCTGTCTTTTACACTCTGCCCTTTATGTGCTAACAATATCTCAAAGATGCCTTTAGCTGATTTTAGCATTTTATATTTTCCTTACAAAAACAGTAGATAAAGAGGAACAAAGAGGGGTTTACACCCTCTTTGCAATTACTTTCAGCCATGCAACATTAACATCATGTAATTTTAAATACTGCTAGGAATTCACTAGTGCTTCTGATGGTTGCAAATCATATTACAGAATTTATATGTAGAAAATGTTCAGAGAGAAAGGAAACTAAAAAAGGTTCAGATATATGACAGTTGCAGCTGCTTTCACTTCACTAAATTGGTACAAATAATAGAAATGCTGAACCCCTCTCTTCCAAATTTTTAATACTTTCTGCCCCTCTATGTTGCCTTTATTGCATGATCCATTTTCTCCTTCCCTGCTTTGGCAATTATGCATCCTGGTCATCATCATCTTGGAGTCATATGCTGCAAAGTTTCTCCTCCCTCCTGGTTAACAGGGTGCCCACATTTGTTGTTTCTAAACTGAGCACAGTGCCACATGCACTGACCACAGATACCCTTGACACACTCCAACGTGCCCTTACATCATTTATATTTATCAAATCATAAATTTCCCAGGAATTTTCCCTTTATTTCAGAGAGTTATTGATTTTTTGCATGGCACGTTGAGATTAAAAACTGATTTAATCATATACTGTGCACCATACTACAGATTTCATGTTCTTTGAGGTTGATTTTTTGAGATGTAAGTGAAAAAATAGATTGTTTCCAGACTATGAACAGATGGTTTGGCAAATATATTGAAAAGTGTACACACAAAATAAAATACCACTCTCACATTCTCAGCTTGTATCCGTGATGGCTTTGTTCCTTATTGCCAAGTAGGATTATATGAGACTTAGTATTCATTTAAAAAAAAAAGAGAGAGAGAAAGAATGCTTAAAATATGAAAAACCAGTATGTAAATACCTGATGTAGCCCCATAAGTGACTGGGTCCCATGAGTTGGTCAGCTACCAAGTAGGTGTTGTGAGAAGATGAAATGAAGTAGTCACATAATGGTTGATTCATATCTTGGTAGATGGTCCTGTGCTCTTTTTTAAATATGGAACATTCTTCTGAGTTCATGTACCTTACAAATCCTTCGAATGACATCTCCCTTCTTTTCCTGACTGAACAAAAACAAAAGCAACCTCTGATGAGAAGCTGAACTGATGGTTATACCTATGTACTTCCCATAACTTTTAACAGCCAGTTCTGAACACTGCCAAAGGTTATACAGCACAACACTCTCCTTAAACACAAACATGACATATGTGAGATTCTGGAGATGAATTGGTGTGATGTAGACTTCTGAGAGGAAATAAATGTGTTGCCACATTTTTGTATTTCTATGGACAACAGTATGAAGAGTTTGCAGTAGCCCTAATTAATATAAAGGAAACTATTTCTTGTTTAGCTTTGGAGAATAACATGCAAACAATGCACAAAGAGAAGCTTTTCTTCTCTTTTGAAAGTCCAGGGATTGTTCTCCAAAACATCAGTCACAGACTGTCAACATAATCTTTCAGAAACTATGATTCCCAGCACCAAATGTCTTCCTCAGTGGGGGAAAACTCCAAATAATTATTGATTAATCAATGTTTCGGAAGATTTGAAAGAAAAATAGCACCTTAACAAAAGAAATGACAGCCCACAGGGATGAACTGCAAATCAAACTTATTATATTACTGCAGCTATAGCAAAATGAGCTAATTGCCTCCATATCAGTGACAGTCATCCCATTTGTCCTGTTTTTAACTGATTTAATGACAAACAGATCCATTACACTGCCAACTGCTGCTCCCAATGTCATGTTTGGAAAGTAACAATTTTGCAAATGACATAATCTCTGAAGTCAGCTTTGCTTCAAAACGTAGCTTGAATTAGTTGAGGATTTTGCCCTGTTCTGACTCTAAAATAACCTTTTTCTCACCAGAGTAGGCTAGTGACAAATAAGGAGTAAGTAATCCAAGATCACTTTATGTTAATAATAATTTAGAGGTCAATGAACACAAACTTGGAGGGGAAGGTAAAAAAACCAAAAAAAAACATGCACAAAACCCTTTTTCTGACCTGCTAATTCTTCCTACAGCTACAAAAATGAGAATTTACAGATTAGAACTGCAATTATCAATGTTCAGTACGTGTGGACACTGCAAGTTTACACCTGAATGAGAATTTATAGAAAAGAATGATTTCTAAATGACACAGGTTTTTGAACTAGAACACGTTTCAAAATGATAAATAGAGCAGAAAAGGGAGAAGGCCTTCCAGACACCACACATAACATTCACCCTTCCAACCCAAACCATGTAATTCCTACCAGAAGTCTGTTCAAGCTGTTCTTACAGACTTCTATTGATGAAGAATCCACAGACAACCCACTAAACCCATTTCAACACCTAAGTAACCTTGTTTGGAAGTTTTCCATAATATTTACCCTGAAACTTCCTTGCTGTCCAAAATATTTGTTCTGTTTTGTACTATCCCTCTCCTTTTGTTTCACAGTCTTTCTCATATGTCTGCTACTGCACTCCTCATCCCACTGCTTTCCAGAAGAAACAAATCCAGTTCAGTGCATCGTTCTGTTCAGGTTAGGTTTTCTTAGACTTCTGATAACCTTTCTTCTACTCACTAGTGCTGTTACTCTTTCAGAGAAGGAAACTGGATACGATTTCTACATTAAATATCCTGACAACCTGTTACTCATCCTTACCATCTTAGAGATGATTACATATCTATTATTGGTTCCAGTTGCTTCTGGTAACTGACTGTGTCTAGTTCCCTGGATGTTCCCTCTCTAAAACAGGTACTACATTTTAACTTCCCTAATCTTTCAATCCATCATCCATTTTCCACAGATTTTCAAAGGTAACCTGTATTAGTCAAGCTTGTTACAGTCAATTTTCCAAGAACTTAGATTTGCCAATCTGTCTTCACTGATCTGATAAAGTCATTTAAGCATGTCCTACCCTACTTTATCCATATTTTTGACTGAGATCTTACTCTGGTCTAACTAATAATATTAGGCACTTAGGGAACGCATCAGGAATTTCTTTGGTCTTCTTTTAACTAACATATTTGCAGAATGACTTATTGTCACCCTGATGACTCTTGGTTGTATCTTATTTAGTGTTTTGACTTTGATTTATCCATGTTATATTGTTCTAGACTTGTAGCCGTTGGATTAAGTTTCTACTTTATGGGTCTTTAAAAAATGTTTTTAATTTTTTTACATGATGTTTAAACCAGAATACATTGATCCTGGATGCTTTACCTGTAATGAATTGTGGGCTTAATTCCTTTGAAGCAAAGGCTTTTCATCAATAATATCTGGATTTAATTTCTGATTAACATATTTTTCATGCTCTATATATTTCTCCATGTAATTACAAGTAGAGCTACTAAGTAATTTTTGTCTGTTTTCATTTACTAATAATTCTTATCTTTTTTCCCCACATTTATCCATTAGATCAGTGAAAAATACTGACTTTCTGTCCTTGAACTGCACACAACTAACATCACCATCACATCTGGCTGATATCTCTGATTTGACAAATTTGGTTAACATTGGCCAATGAGATCAAAAGTTTTCTCCTCCAAATGCATATTCTCCCTCTTGCCCTGTCTCTCACACACACATGCACAAAAAAAACCCCACAAAACCCACAAGTTTCAAAGACTGTATATCCTAGGAATAAACTGGAAGGTTTTTTTGATTAACAAATACATTCTGGATTACTCAAGCTCTTGATCTGACAGATGCACCAAGCTTAGATTGTTATTTAAAAAGTAAGCGAGTTTTTTTTTAAGACAGGATTGTAATTTTGACCTGATTTTGCACTGCCTATCAGGAAAATAGAGAGACAGGAGCAGAGTCTTTGAAAGGCACTACACTGAAAAAAATAATGGGATGCACCTTCTTATCCTCACTGTGCCTCTAATCCTATCCATGTAAATACTAATTATGAGCAATATTTCTTCAAAAAAGAGATACATATCCAGCTTGGAAAAATAAAGTGCATTTAGCTGGCATGTTTTCTTTAATCTCACTCAATGACTCAAGACTTCTATTCAAAATTAATCATAAAATGGAGAAATAATGGAATTTTGTGTAGAATAAAGCTGACATTTGGAGGTTAGTAAGACACAACTGTCAGGTGTGAATCACATATTCATATGTGATTCATATACATATCAGTTCACATATTCATATTCACCCTGGCAGTGTTCAAGGCCAGGTTGGATTAAGTCTCGAGCGACCTGCTCTGGTGGGAGGCGTCTCTGCCCAGGGAAGGGGTTGGAACTAGATGATCTCTAAGGTCTATTCCAACCCCTTAAAATACTATGATATTTTGTGAAAATAGTTTTTTCTTCCAAAAATGCAAGATCTTGGCATGCACACACAAATGTGTTAATGCAGCATTTTGCCATTAGACATCTAAATTGTACAATAAAAATGGAACAGTAACATATTCCATACTGTTTCTGAACTAGGTACAGGACCCTCAGGGAGTTAATCCAGAGTTATCTGTCCCAATAGTATTGAAATGTCTTCTCTCTGAACAAAAGTTAGGGATGCACTTAGTGTCATAGATGGACTTATCCAAGTTGTATATAAAATCTAGACACTGTTCTCCTCTTTATCTTGACATCCTAGTGCTATCAAGTTTATCAGATAATGGTTATTACTATTAGCAAACCAGTCAATCAAGTGTCAAAATCTGCCCTTTTCCCTTCCTGCAATACACAGGACAAGGATGTAGATGATTCCAACAGATCATCCTGATGAAGAATAGTCTATATCAAATTCAGAATGACAGTTACACAAAATGATCTCTCATAACACCACATGAATCATCTCTCATGTCAGTCATAACTGGAACTTTTCAATAAATATGTTTGAGTGGGCGTTTTAGTTCACTCAAAGGAGCATGAACAATACAGCTATTATTTCCTTCAGCAAGATTATTTCCAACTACAAGACAAACAATTTTCTCACAGCTGAAAGAATAAACAAGAGTATGGCTCAGCATCTGAAATTTAAACCAGACATTAAACATATAGAAATTGATATTAGATATCAGTAAATGAGACAAATTAGATATAGATTCGAATAAATTACATATCAATAGAAACTGATATTTACAAATGGGTTTTCTGATGTTTTTTTCACTGTTTAACTGCTTTCTGTCTACTAGTTTTCCCAACAAAAGAGATAATGCAAAACAAAAGAAACCTTTTAAACTGCTTCTACAGTTAGTTAGTAAACATATCAGTTCTCAGAAAGAGTAGAATATGTTCAATAAAATATGGTCTAATTTGAAAGGCAACCACAGAGAGTAAAGGCAGAAGGAAAGGCAGAAGGAATCAAAGGACTCTTAGCTATTACTCTACAGTGTCTCTTAATGAAACAGCAAATGTCTTCTGATCCATTTCCTTCTTTCTCCCCCAGTGAGAATGATCAGCACAGATATTCCAGGGTTATTATCCCAAAAGAAAAATTTTCTCCTTGGGTTTATTTTTCTTAACCAGTTATCAATTCCACCCATTACCAAAGACTGGGAACCAAGAAAAGTAAAAAATTAAACATCTGAGATTCATCTTCCACTGAATAAAGTAACAGCCTGCAATAAAATGCAGTTAGCTCTGACTTCCTTTTTGTAGCTAAGTTCAGTAGTCACATTCAGTGAAACTCAGAAGAAATGTTACACCACAACTCGAGGCACCTTTGAAACGCTGAGGAATACACGTTACAGACTTATAAACCTCTCCTCATCTCAGAGGTCTTATGATTCAGAAAGGGTGATCAGACACCTCTGCAGATCTTACATAGTGCTTTTTCTGCAAGTAGGCCAAGGGGAGATATAAGCCTTGTCTGTGGACTTGCCTTATCACCAAGTAACTCAATAGAATGAGCAGACAAGCAAAATGGCAGAGAAGAAGCCTAAGAAAAACAAATTAAAATTGGCTCATAATGACCAACAGTGAGCTGAAGGACAGAATGTATAGAAGGGAGAAAGATAAATAAATGACAGGGAAGAAAAAAGAGCAGAGAAAAGAGAGAACCATGACAATAAAGAATTTAAAACACAGACATTAAAAAAAAGTCCATAAAATTATAAATGCAATAAAAGATTGTGGTTTTAAAGTAATAAATATGAGCTTTTTTGCAAAACTCAGCCAGTGACAGAAGCACAATAAATAGTTAGATATCACAGAATCACAGAATATTCATAGCTGGAAGGGACCCACAAGGATCAACAAGTCCAACTCTTGACCCTACACAGGACAGCCCCAAGAATCACATCATGTGCCTGAGAGCATTGTCCAAACACTCCTTGAGCTCTGTCAGGCTTGGGGCTGTGAGCACTGCCCTGGGGAGCTGTTCCAGTGCCCAAACACCTCTGGGGGAAGAACCTCTTTCTAATATCCAACATAAACCTCTCCTGACACAGAAACAGGCCATTCTCTGGTCCCCAGAGAGAAGAGATCAGTGCTGCCCCTCCACATCCCCTCATGAGGAACCTGTGTAGAGCAATGAGTTCCCATCTCAGCCTCCTCTTCTCCAGGCTGAGCTATATATATTAACTCTTAAACTATGAAAATACTGAAACTCTACATACCTTCATCAATGGGTTCATACTTCAAAATAATTTCTAAGGCAGTTGTTTCATCAGCTTTGGTTTGAAATTGTTCTTTTGTGAGAAACTTAATGAGCTGATTTTCAGACAGATTTTTGCCATCCGGGGAGTAAGCTCGGAAAAGTTCTTGAAATTCAGGTCTGTATACAATAGTTCGATAAATTGCCTTGAAGCCTTCCATGTTAATGATCTGTTCTGTATGTTTGTCAATTGTTTTCTGGGGGGGGAAGAAACAAAAAAATCCACCACAAAAGGCAATCAATACAAACATGTGCAATGACACAAAGATACACACAAAACACTATTATAACTGATCATGAGAGAGAACCACAGAGGAACCCTCAGGCAGCAGTGACTGCAATGCATTGTATTCTTTACTCTTAATATTATTAATACATTATCTATATTATACTAATATATCTTAATATAGTCTGAATCTCAATATTATATTCTTCAATTTTTAGATTTGACTTCGCATGTTAGAAATATTTTAGATAAATTAAAATGGACTTCATGACATACTTAGCCTCTAAATAATGACAATAAATGTATATTTAACTCACAGGCAAAATACATTATGCAAAATCTCTAAAATGCTATGCCAGAAAAATAAATTTGCAGCATAAAAGTTATAAAGTGAGAAATATATTTCATATAATACCTCTCCAATTGCAATTTAGACCATACTGTAAATAGTGTCAGCTAAATTTACAGACAAAATGCAGCAACCAGTGGTCTCAAAAATGAAATGATGACCAAATTATCAGGAAATCCAAGTCTTTCAACACATTAAATAAGAAACACTATAAATTTTGTAGAGAAGATATTTTATAGTAACCTATGACATCATGCTCTACTGTTAACAAGTCAGAATGTTTAACTTAGATTAATTATTCACACTTGCAGAATTCTTAAACTGGAAGCTTGTTTTCATAGAGCTTACAAAATGTTAGCACAGTAATTAATTTCTGTGTTTCAGTATAAGAGCCACTAGAAAAATTAAAAGGGCAAAAGAATTTGGGCAGAATAATACTTTTTCTTTTACGTTTTCTGCCTTTAACATTTTTCTCAGGCTTAACAATTCTATTTTTCTTTTGAAATTTTCTGCTTGAAATAAGGAATTGTGCATACAAAGTATAAATGTTTCTAACATTTTAGGTTGTCTTAAAAATCCATTAATTAATTGCTAATTCCTAAAAGTTTGCAAATTCAGATAAAAATTTGCTGACAACATTGCTCAAAAAAATCATAAATTACCTCCATGATCATCACTGTAAACTGATCAAAATTCAAAAATATTGACTCCTTAGACTACCAAAGAGGCTAAATTTCAACCTCTAAAATATGGCACTTATTATGGCTAGTTTGGCTCCCCAAAAGTGTCCATAAACAGGAAATTAGTTACTTGAGCTCTGGCTGCTCTTTGATCAAGATTTTTGATTACTGCTAAATTAATTTTGAACCTTTAAAGTTTAACTATGCATTACCAGCTCCTTCCTATGCAGTACAGTTCCTACTAAGAGATGTCTGCATAGGTACAACAGGAGTAAGAATATATTAGACAACGAAAACAAGCACAAAAGACAATTTCATGGAGAGTTCTAGTGAAAAATTTTGTTAATCAGTACTTAAGAATTTGCTTTGAGTTTGTGAAAGAGAATAACTGATCATTTCTAACAGAAATCACTAGCAAGGAAATATTTCACTACAAATGCTAATTATACACATTTCATTACTGCTGAGAAATCTCCCATCTACAGGTGATATCCTCAATCTAATCTTAACATGTCTAAGAAAACTGCAGATTTGCTCATAACCATTAAATAGGAAAAGAAAATACCAACTTATTTTGGAACTGTTCACTTAGGTGTTGGCACAAAGAGAAGCTGGGCAAAAAAATTAAATTTTCTCCCTCAGTTGCCTCTTGATGAAATAGAGGCAATAATATCACAGAGGAGAGCTTTTCAAATTAAAGTGATAAAAATCATATTGATAGAAAAAGAGATTGGTCTAAATTTTTTCTTGGTAGATTTTTATCATACTTGTTTTTATTAATACACATCAAACCTTTGCTATTCAGAAAAAGAGGTGTCTTGAAAAAGGGTCTTGAGAATTATATGAAAATGTATTATTCCTTAAAAATCCTGATGTTCATAATTCTGATACTGCTCAGAGGAGCAATAAAGTAAAATAAACTCAATGAGAACAGACAAGGGAAAAAGCAGATTATTCTTTACAAAGTGTTTTCTATAAATTGTATTTTGTTATGTATAACCATTTGATAACTGCTGATGTGTAGTTACTGACGACGCCAGTAACCCCTTGATTAACAGTTGATGTGTTGTTCTGACAACAATTCCACTAAAATTTCCTTCCACACTGCTTTGCATTTTCACATATTATTATGCTGATGAAATATTTGAGCCTCCAAACTACTGATCACATTTAAATCTCTCTCAAATAGTAAAGAATGCCTAATAATACTGGTACAAATAACTTGATCAGGCTATTGAGTACAACATGTTGCTAAATACAACTAGATCAGACTTGTTTTTTGCAGGTCACTTCCTCTAAGAATTACTCTCTTCCCTACCCACAACTGACCATCTCTCTCAAATCTGTCAGAAGGCAAATCAGGTGGAAAATATAGGAAACTGAGAAATGTATTTAAGTTCTCATGAGATTCTCAAGGTTAGCAATACTTTTAATGCAGTGCAGGTTCAAAAACCACAGGCATCCTCTTCAGCAAGGGCTGAGCTCATGCAGGTTTTGCCTTGGCTAGACAAGGCAGAGAACAGACAATGAGAGAGGAACAAGGCAGAGTGAGAAATCTGAATGCCTTCCCTCTGCCTGTCTGTCTGTCAGCATGACATGACCTAAAAGCTTCTGACTTGCCATAGCTAATTCTCCTCTGCCAGATCTGGAATCACTCAGCTGGTTACAAAATTCTCAAAAGAATCAC